GCCTCATTTGAGCGTCGCTGAACGCAATGGGTGACATCACACTCGCTTAGTCCACTTCTTTTGTACAGTCTATGAGCTGAACACACTCGTGGCTCATTCGTTTTACAATAGAAATCAAATATTGGATGAAAAAAGGAGATCTGAGGCACTCCGATATGCTTTGCTATGATTCTATTTCCTGTATCAAATCAAAAAAATCTAATATTTTTCAGAAAGTTCTTCCCAAGTCTGTTGCAGAAGTTCCCATAAATGTGTCTGAGGTGAAGGAAGTCTGGGAGTCCCTGCTTAGACCCGGCCCCGGATAAGAGGAAGAAAATGGCTGGATGGATGTGACACTTGTAGTTTGTTTGGCTTTCACTCTTCTGTCCAGTTCATCCCAAACCAGCTCGATGGGGTTTAAGTCTGGAGACTGTGCTGGACACTCCATGTTTTCAAGTTTTATCATCTTGGTTTTTTTTCCTGAGGTAGTTTTGGCAGAGCTTGGACTTGTGTTTTATATCTTTTTTTTTTTTTAACCTCTGGCTGTTCAGTTCTTACCTTTGTACCATTGGACTTGCACGACTTGAATTGCAATAAATAACTAGAAAAATGAGGGTGTTCTAAAACTTTTGACCGGTAGTGTACATTTTTGAGGAGATAACATCATTCTGGCGAGCTTAATTTTGTGTAATATAGGACCTTTAATGTAAAAGGACCATATTTAATTATTTGAAGTTCCATACATGACCTAACCGTGTCCCTAGATATGAAGTGACATGTTCAAATCAAATACAGCTCTTACTGATGACAACTGTAATGCTGATTTATTTTTAGTGGCAAAAACACTGGATGTGATGATCCATTTATTTATGTTATAATTTCATGTTTTGGTTTTCAAGATGATTATTTAAGCCGACAACAGAAAGAGCCTCACATAAATCTCTCATTCAAATCAAATACAGCTTTTAATGATGACAGTTAAAATGCTCATTTATTTCTAATTAGAAAATCATTGGACATGATGAACAAGTTTTTGTTTTAATGTGGTGTTTTGGTTCACGGGATGATTATCCACTCAGAATCCTGGATGAGCCTCAAACAAGTCTCTCTTTGTTGTCTCTCGTTTGAGTTTCAATGCTGGAATCTGGTTGGAATGGGTTTGAATGGGCACTTCTTAAACCGCAGCACCTACAGATAATCATGAGTCAGTGCTAGTGCAGCCTCTGTAGCTCATGGAGTGAATTCTGAAGGTTTGTCCATGTACTGAGAATGAGAAAAATTGGCAAGGTTCAGTTGTAGTAATTGTATTTTTTTGTTTTGTATTTTTGCGTTAAGAGCCCAGGCTACATACAGTTCCTTTAAGACTATTATTTGGAATTTTTGTAGTTTTTATTATTATTTTTTGTTTGTTTGTTTTGTTTGTTTTTTGTTTTTTCCCCTGGGGTTTTCTGAGGTTGTGACTTGTCTGCTGGGTGAACTTAGCCGTCCAGTCATGCATTAGATTCTGCAGCCCCTGTGGATGTGCAGACATTTAGAGCATTACAAAATCAAGTTAAGTAACAAGTCTCACACACAAATGGATAATTTACTTCCGATTTACATTTTTTATGCAGACGTGCACTCGATGTTTGCATAATCACCACAGTGTTGTATTTTTAATATAAAGCTGGACTTCTTAAACTGTAGCCATAAACTTGACAAAGAATATATAATTATACATCTATGAATGTGGATTAATGAAAAATAAAATGTATATTGTGCATCTTGAATGAGTAATTAGTGCTTATTGTCTGAAAAGCTAAGTGTCTTTGTGTTCTTTCAACACATAATCTCATTGTAATTAGTTAAAAAATGAAGAAACACTATGTAGTTTTTTCTGATGGAGCTTCCGCCACCCGCTCTATGGAAATGTTATTGCTTTGCCTGAAATGTTCCACAGTATAACATTATCTGTTTCCATAGTGACAACCATTTTGATAATGCAGTTGTAGAAAGGAGAGATGGGTGTAAGGCCATACTTGACATTCCAGGCTATAATTAAAAGAGCAGGTTGTGCAGCCTCCATTAGATTAGTCACAGAATGAATCTTTAACAGGGTTCCCAGTCTTTCGCTGACAACTTTTCCATGACTTTTTCAGGACCTAAAGTGAATTTCCCATGACTTTATGGCATGTGTAGAATTTATCCTACTTTTAGGGCTAAATATGAAATGTTAACCCTTTCTACTCACATTATGGTTTGGTTTTATAGTTTTTAACATTCAAAATAGTGTTGTCATTTATTGTCGTCTCTTTCAAACAAAAGGCACATATGTTTGGAAATAATCATAATAACTTCATGATAACTTAACAGACAAATTTTAATTGAATTTACAAAATTCCATGACTTTTTCAGGCCTTAAAAGTGACATTTTCAATTTCCATGACTTTTCCAAGATTTCCATGACCGTGGGAACCCTGCTTTAAGTTCTATGTGGCCTACGTTTTATTCAGAACACATTCATATATTTAAGAAACATTGTGTAGTCTGTGCTCTTATAGTTTTAAAACTACAGTCACAACTGAACCTGGCCAGAGTCTTAACCTGCAGACAAACGACACATACAAGGTTTTCTCATTCTGATCGTATGAGCAGCACACTGCAGAGGCTGCACTAGCACTGACTCATGATTGGCTGTACGTGCTGGGATTTAGAGACCATTCAGATTAAAGAGTCATATTAGGTGTAAACAACTAGATTCCAGCTCTGAAACTTAAATGAGACAAAAATGATAGACTCGTTAGAGGCTTATCCAGCATTCAGAATTAGGGATGTGCAAAAATATCAAAATATCAATATACCGTATCGTTTAATGTACTGATACAGTTTCGATATCATTGGCTGCTTGGCCCGATATATCACCAAGAGTGTTTTTTGCTATATTTTATTAAATCCTTTTGTTACAGAGCTACAGGTTTGTTGCTTGTTTAGAGGAAGGAAGCTTGTTTATTTTCACTGTTTTGATGATTATAATGTTTGTGTTTCATATTGACTTTGCACAAGAAGTGGTGTAGCAAAGACTTTTAGTATCACAGCCATGATTCAGCCTTTATTTTTTACTGAATCACATCAAATCGATCTTAAATATATCGTATCGAATCAAAAGCTCACTGTATCAAGGTATGTATTGTATCGGCAGCTTCTGAATGATACCCTGCCTTATTCAGATTGGAAAATCAAAACACACCATATTAAAACAAAAACTTGTCCAATGTTTTTGTAATTAGAAATACATTAGCATTTTAATTGTGATCAGTAAAAGATATATTTGATTTAAACATGTTTACCTCAGTTAGTTCATGTTTATGTCATTTTAAATCAAAATCTTATGTACAGTTCATTTGACAGCCAAACTAATAAAATAACATTTCTGTAGAAGTTTTAACTACAGTATTTTATCTCTAACTCCATTGATATTTAAACTAATTCTCTAGTGATATGCCCAAATGCGTTGGTTTGTCCCATGTAACCATTAAAGGACTTTTATTATAATTCCAACAGAGTGCGTCAGACTTTTTTGGCCACTTTTTACTTTATCACAGCCCGTTTTAACACTACAAGCTTGCTCATCTTCACTGTCTGTTAGTCTAAGTGCAGTCTTTGCGATCTGCTCATTTTGCCTTTCTGATTTTGATTCAGTCGTGATTAATCTGGATTCGTAGTCAGTTCGTCCACTGGGCCTTCTGAGCCACTCTGTTCTTCCCACAACTGCAATTCAATCAGCTCACACCCACACGCTGCTGTAATTTCACTTCCCTACTTTAAATAGCCCTTACTGTACTGTAGCCTATATTGCCTTTCGATTCTATTTATACATTAGTAGGGCAATGGTTCACAAACTGCAGTACTTCTGGACTCGGTGGTTTGGTACTCATTCTAGTTTAATGGTAACTTTTCCAGAGCGTGGAGATGTTATTGAATCGCCCGGAATGTGTTACGTTAGTATGGTGTTGGGTGACAAGCACGGGTGACATCAGACTGCACAGGAAGTATTTTTAGCGAGAAAAGAAAAAAAAAAGAAAACTCCATGGAGCACACATCCAAGTTTTTCTCATTCCCAGTACATGGACAAGCCTTGTGTGAAAGCTTAGAACCTCCAGAATTCACTCACTGAGCACAGATTCACGATTTAGGTTTAGGTAGAGAACATTCAGATCAGAGAAAGGTGTTTTTTTTAGGTTTAGAGCAACTGGATTTCAGCAATGGAACTGGCAATTCTGCTTGGTGGTTTGGATATAATCATCTTGAGAACCAAAACACTAAATTATAGCCAAGTCTGATGTTTTTGTCAAACTAAAGCAGCATTAGAATTGTAAATCTGTAAAAGCTCGACTTGATTTCAGTGTTTACTTCATCTCTGGGGACACAAGTAGATCAAGTTTATGAATTTAAACTCAAAATCTTCCTCTGTTACTTTAAAAACAGCGTAAACAAGAGGCGGTGCACAGCTGAGATCCACAATAGAGCTTTATTGTCATTCATCAAAATAACAAACTTTGTATCTCTGCAAGCTACTGTAACAAACTCGATCAGAAATTAAAAAAGAAATGAACAGGAAAAGCTCTATTTACACCAGATGTACGTTCGATCACCTGCACCTCGTGAAGATGGGAGCAAATGCCAAATGTTTTTATAATAAGACGATTAAGAGGTGGTCAGATTTGGGGCCAGTGCTGAGCTAAAGCAGCGGCAGACTTCACGTTTACAGCGAGGTCAGCCGAGTTCAGCCCAGCACCAGGAGTGGACCAGAGCACACATTGGTCCCACTAATGGACAGGTCTGATTGGAGTTGGACATTAAGAGGCATTGGCTGATGCTCCTCAGTGCATTGGGGAAGTCACAGGGGTCAATTTAAAAATCAACGGTAAACATTTTACTGCAGGCTATAAGCAACAGAAGAAAACAGCCCTATCAAAAATGGAGCATCTCGATACAAAAAGGGAATTATTACAACTCAAGGAGAAAACAAGACAATTTTCAAATCCGGGTAGGTTGTAAATTTTATTGGAAAACAAAAATATACAACTTGGAATGGATTATTTGAGGCATGGCCAGAGACCATTTAAAAAAGAAAATAAAAGTAGTGAGTAAAACATTAAAAAGCATGTTTAAGATTAGTTGTTTCTGGTAATATAGAACAGCAGATACAAAAAGAGTTTGTACGAGTACCTAGGAGATACACCCGTGTCATTTTTTTGCAGTAGTGCAATGCTGAGAGATTTCCATATATACTTTGTCCGTAGTCCATGCAGAGTTTTCAAACTCCTCTACATCATTTCCATGCCAACAGTGTTGACAGGTTTCCAATGTCGCCGTGCGTGGAGGGGCCCCGAGCTCGAGACAGGAACATCCCAAAATCTCCGGCTCCCAGGGGCCTCCGCAGGCTTCGGGTTGTACGACCATCGCGTCACTCCAAAACACCATGACAGCAAAAGAAAAGGGACATGGGGACAAGAGCCTATGCAGTTTACATGCAGTTCCTTTGGACAGCAGAGGGGGCAGGGACGAAGGGGCTATTAAGATTTTACAGATAAATTACACAAAGAAAAAAGGCAAATTATTTATATACGAAATCTGTACAAGGCCTTCACTTCGCCGTCATCATTTGTACGAACTCTGTGGGGTAAAACACAAACAAAGGAGGGATTTTAGAAACAAAACTTCAAAACTTGTTAAAAAGGATTATGGTTTTCTTCAAACTACCAAAGCTACTATCAGCAGTGAATGTTCAAGCTGAATAATGCCTTCCTCCATTAATAAAAACAAGTGTGACAAACCTTCATAGTTGACTTGTCCATCACCGTCGATATCTGCTTCTCTGATCATTTCGTCCACCTCTTCATCGGTCAACTTCTCTCCCAGGTTTGTCATCACGTGGCGGAGCTCAGCAGCACTGATGTATCCATTTCCATCCTGAGGAGAGCGAGGAACGGAGGAGAAGATGAAAAACTGGAATCTTTGAAAACTCAAACCATACAAAAGGATAAAAAGGAGAGCGGAGTCTAGCTTTTTGTACCTTGTCAAAAACGCGGAATGCTTCTCTGATCTCCTCCTCGCTGTCTGTGTCCTTCATCTTCCGCGCCATCATGGTGAGAAACTCTGGGAAGTCTATCGTTCCATTACCTACAGAGAAAACGAAAAGATTTTAAAAGATTCTTCGTTGAAGTAGCAGCATTTATTCAAGCACTGCAAAATAGTAAGTGTTAAAACTGCTTGAAGACGGAATATAAATCTGGGATACGGACTGACCTACATTTGGTTTTCAATAGATCTGATTAGTTTCAATACATTTGAACTTGAAATAAGAGACTTCACTAGCAACTTTAAAACCAGTCAATCTAGGTTTCACCGCGAACAGGTTTTACTACTATAACCCATGCCAAAAGACTTTCATTTTCAGTTCCCCAGATTCCCACTTTACAATTACTTATTTCAGAGTAATAAGTAATTAATAAGAAGCATTATTCTTTCGCAGTGAAGCAAAAGACTTTTCTTTCTGCTTTTTGATCGTGGTGGATGGATTAAAGTTCACATTACGTACCATGTAAAACTCAATCGTAAGAAACCGTAATGTTTGATGTCGTACCATCAGCGTCCACCTCGTTGATCATGTCCTGCAGCTCAGCCTCTGTGGGGTTCTGTCCGAGCGAGCGCATCACGGTGCCCAGCTCTTTGGTGGTGATGGTGCCATCTCCGTCTTTGTCAAAGAGCGAGAATGCCTCTTTGAACTCTGCCATGGGGAAAAAAATAAATACAAACATAAGAACAGAGCTTTTATTGTTACCACAACAACTTAAGCATCTCAAATATGCTCCGTGTGCCTCCAAGAATAGAACAAGACGGTACATGCCAAACTAACTTTAGGAAATCCAGCATGCACCTCTTCCTCTTGGATATTCATGAGTTTCACTGACACCATTTTGAGGACTTCACAATTCAAAAAGATTGAAAAAAGTCCTCATTTTTATTCATGAGTGGCAGAAAATCCAGTTAACCTTCAAGTAGCTGGACATACCAATAAGACTTTCATTACAATCCTCAGATCTACATTTTGCCAATTTTAAGAAACAAGATTAAGTGCCAAAAATCGTAAACGGCTCATATGAAATGCTTGTCAATCTTTCATAACTTCTCTCTTCTTTCTGAAACCTGTCAATCATTTACCACAAAGTCCTAGCAGCATTTCAACATCACTCATGTTTCGGATACAAACTCGCCGAGCCTCCAACAACATGTCAGCGTGTTTAGAGTTACAACTCGTGGCATTTCTGCTCAAAACAGCAAAGCAGACAGGAGGTGGCGTAATAAGGAAGGAGGGAGGGAGAGGGGAGGAGGGGGTGGGCACTATGACACAGTACTCATCAGGAGACGAGACCGGGGGGTAACGAGCAGTGGCATGTAGCAGATTGTCAACGTCATGACAACTCCAACCTGCCCTCCAGTTTGTGGGGTCAAGCACAGCGCAGACTGACACCCCTTTTTAGAGAGATGGGGCCGTTAAAGCGACCTCTGCCACACAAATGTTACCGCGACAAAATGACGAATCAGAAGAAAAGCAAAAGTTTTACTTATGACACGATTTACCCTCATTGTGGGACAAGTAGCGGTTCATCTTAGTACAGAGAAATGTATAATTATCTAATGTCAAAATGCGCCAAGTTTCTAATTTAAACTTAAACTCCCTGCAAACGCTTTTAGTGCCAACCCAAAAGTGAAAGTTCTTTAAATGTCTGCCCATTTGCTCTAGAAATCATCCATTCATCAGCTACTCATGTTCTATTAAATGCTACAATATGTTATGGGCTTTAACTCATTCAAAAGTGTTTCAAATGTCTTCATAATTGTTTCTTAAACCCATGGATTATTGGACACTCATCTTGCTTTTCAAGAAATCACTCCAGAATCTGTTTATGTAGTCTGTCTAGTCTGTTTTCTTAGCCATCTGAGTCAGCCTTGTGCAATAAAAATAAAAAAAAAATAAAAAGCTCTGAGTACTGCTGCACTGAAATCACTCTAGACTGGCATTTTCAAAACTAGAGCAAAAACAAGCGGGGAGCCAATGTTACGAAACCTGGTGTTGACTAGTAAGATTGAAATGCATCACCCAAGCCATTTGGCACTTAACCATACAATGCTCCTCTATACACACACACTATAGTGGAGGGCCTATATGACAGCAGGGCCTTTCAGAGACTGGGAGATTTACGTAACCCAGTCTCGGCTTCTACTTATTGCAATTTGTGCGTGAAGCATTCCTTCCGCAGTGAACACACCCAGGCCAAAGAACACACTATCTCAACAGCGGCCAACAGCAAAACACTTCCAGATTACATCATTTATGACATAGCAACCATTAAAATGCAAAATTTTCCATGAGGAGTCCTTCTAGGCTGCGGAGAGGGAGCGGGCAGGCCAGCACAGCCACAGACTGTTTCATTCATTCCCGTTTTATGACCCGAAGTGTAGGACGCCTTAAAAGGTAAAAGTGTAAATCCACGGAGAGAGACGCTAGGTTCCATATGACAAGGCACTTTGTAGGATATGAAGAAAGGCGATCAATGCAGCCATGGCTTACCGGCAATCTGTTCCTCTGTAAGCTGGTCGGCCTGAAAAATAATACAGGGAGCAATTAGAGAAGCAGAATACAAGCTTATACATGTACTGGACTACAGGCTCTTTTTCTAGGCGGGACACAGGCGATTCAATGTACACTAAAAGCCATGCAAATACAATAGATAATAAAATGTGCACCATTTTAGCTCAAGGAAATGTCAGTCAACACCTAAAGGAAAAATAAACGCGTTTCTTTAATGCGGGTTATGACTCACTGGCAGATCATGTCGGGTAAGACAACGCCTGGTCTCCCATACACAATGAATGAATTAAAATTGGCGGTAAAGGTTGCTAGGCAGACGGAGCTAGGGCTAGGCGGTCTGCTAGCGCCATGAGGCCGTTCGTTTGACAGGGCGACCGAGACAGACTTCTAGGCTTTTCGGTCGCACCATTTAATATTCAGGGCTCATAAAACAACGACAAAAACGCATCAGGCGGAATAAACGAAAAGCAGCTCGACGAATTACGATAAACAAGCCCCAGGGGCGTATCTGGGAAATGCTGCCGCACACGGCCCTGCGTCCTGACCAAGGGATTCAGACAACCTTTATATTAATATTACAGCATAAGTATCAAAAATAGCAAAGATTAACCTTAAATTAATAATTCAATGAAATAAAATACAACTATGAGCAGAAAATGTACAGATTATTCGAATATAAGCGTGCATTAATGGTTTCGATAAGATTCTTTATATGATTAAAAAGTATAGCGTTAAATCCAATATAACAAACTGGATAATGTTTATAAGGTTAAGGCTTTGACAACGGACCGAAATGTTCATTCAACGCCCGAAAGGAAGAGAGGCGATCTGTCCATGCATAATGTAAGCTCGCTCATTTGATAATTAGCAATGTGGCCCTTGAAACGCCAATGGCAAGACAGTACGAAGCCTTTTAGGAAAGTGTAATAACAAAAATAAATCGACATTTATGAAGAACAGCGCTGCCTAGCAACAAGCAGCCCCCATTTTACGGCGTAGCGGCAGAAGGCTCTGGTGATGTCACACTGTCCCGACATTAAACTGCCCCTTTTCTCACGGCGCCGACTTCCTAAAACGTTTGGAGACTGTTAAGGCTATCGTCCGAGGAGTAAATCTGTTTCTCTTACCATTTTGATGCGGGTGGATCAGCTGGTTTAAGGTGAAATCCGAAAGAGCGGAGTAAAGGTACGGAGCCTGAGGGACAAAGCGCGGCTCTGGATCAGTGATGAGGAGGCTGTGGACTGGCATATAACGGCTCACCCAATCTCCGCCTCTCCCACGTATCACTCCGCCAACTTCCCTTTTCCTCCCTTACCGCATTTCACACAGGACGCCCTTACAGTAACGCGTAACCGCTTCATAAAACCTCGTTACGTTCCCAACACCGATATCCGCATTGAGATCACGCGTAGATAATCGTAATTTGAATCATTTGAGAATTTATCAAGGGACTAAACAGCAGCGCATGAATACGTTCTGCTAGTCTGTGGTGCGGCACAAGACGTAGCGGAAAGAAATCGCGGCCTGTGATTGGTCGGTTCGTACCTGCAATGCGTCACTCCCATGGTCTGCGCTGCCGCTGCATCTCGTCCATAGACATCCCAGTCAGTGCCACAGACAAGCTTGTTGCACACTGTATACATATGGGCATCATGTTTGGGACACCCTGCATGATAGTTTTGCTTAGTAATTACCCTAATGCCAGACTAGCTTGCAAAAATCAACTTTACTTGCCCATTTGGTGCACATTGAGGAAGTGAAGCCTTTGCTATTTGCTGCAGCTTGCTTGTTTTATTGCATTTCCCGCATTAGCATATTGATAGATATGCTTTTTCAGCTCCAAGGTTACGACTGTCTGACATAGTGCGAAGTTGTATGCGGTCAAACTGTAAAAGTGTGACAGTTGGGGCAGCAGGAAATGCAACGTCATGGTAGTTGTTAAAAAAGACGCTTTCAAACATTTATACACATCACAGGCCAAGTGTTACACAATGTGACGTATCATACTTAATCCAGATATATATAGATCAACTTATGGCTGCATGTGTGCATACTTTCTCCCTATGTGCATGCGATATATCCACTATGCAGAGTCTTTGCCAGGGTATAGCTAACAGATGGATTGTCAAGTCCTATTGTAGTGCTGTTAAGAGTACTCATATCTCATAGCCTGATTGCTTATGCCTGACTGATCTCCCAGTGGCCACCTGTCTCCGGCCTGGCCTTCTGGGAAAGGCCTCCTAGTCGGAAATACTATGTTAAAGGAGGCAAGATGAATTCATTTGAGTCCGAAGAAGTCTTTTTCACTCATCTAAACGTTTACTCTGATGAGAAAGGGGATCTGGAGTAACATTTATCACCGGTATATTTAAGAAATGGGTCTGGGCTTGTATGTTTGCTAAGAGGATGCTGCCAGCCGGTACCACGTGATACCCGGAGCAGCCTCAGAATAAACTATGCTTTTTTCTCCTCTCTCTCTCTCTCCCTCCCTCTCTCTCTCTAACCCACCTAATCTGGTCCACATTCTTCTCATTCAAATCTGTTTTTCACCCTGCGTTTTGTCACCCTCCAGATTATGTAATGCCAAAGGTGAACGCACAAAGGCATAAATCCGTCACAAGAAGGAGATAAGCCGCACTGAATTGTGAATGTATTCCTCTCACGGCTGTTTGCAAACACAAGGAAATGTCTATATTCCGATCAATATGATTCAGCTGAGAATTTTCTGCACTGCTCGGTTGTTTTCAGACACCAGATGGTTCCATAGTACAGTATAATGTTTGATAGAGATGGGGGCAAAATTAGGTCACTAGACTCATAATATTGTTTTTGGTTAAAGTTGCACTATGTAACTTTTATGGCCGCTGCATGCTGTCTCAAATGGAGATGTTATTGCTTTGGCTCGAATCTTCCAAAATCCACAACAAACTAATCTGATCTGTGGAGAGGCAACATAAGAATGCATGTTTTTTTCAAGCAATAAATGTACCTGTAATTAAATACGTGTTACAATGGAAGCAATTACATCTCCATGGAGACAAGCAAGTGGCGTACCCTCCATCAGAAAAGTTACACAGTCTCACAATACGATATCGTCACGGTATGAACCTCACGGTACGATATTTATTGCGATATCGAAAAGACTTAATCCAAAGAACCAAGACTTAAAAGTGCTGTTATTTCTTCTTGTAGTCTGCACTGAAATGGAGCAAAGGATCATAGTCTGTGTAGTTCCCTCTGTTTTTTTAAGATATTGCTGCACCATAACTCTTAATTTAAGCAAAGAGACTTGTGATTCGATATATTGTGATGGTCCACGATATTATTGTGAGAACTTTGACGATACAATATCACAATATTTCGGTTGCAGTGCACCTTTACGTGAAATATGATCTTGTCTAAATGACCAAAGATGACATTTGTGCAATTACGTTTGAGATATTTATAAAATAACACAGAATGCTGGTCACAACATCACATTCAATCTCAATTGAACTATTATAAACTACACTTTCGCACAATGTTCTGACAAAGCACATATTCTGTATTGTGGCCATTAAACAATAAACAAAGACAGGCTGTTTAGTGGTGGGGTCATAAATATTTCACCATCAGCTTTGTTCTTGTAGCACTATTTCTATAGCCCTGGTTCATCCAATATGCACCATCAGCTGTTTGCATGCTTGATGACATGCCCCCGAATGATCCTGCGGTCTCCAAGGAGATCTCCAGGGTCAAAGGTCGCAGCAGGTTGGCTCTAATATGGATAAGAGGCGTATCAGGAAGAGGGTGACATGACTTAACGGCCTATAAAACCTGAAAGTTAATCGTCCAGAGGGAGACACAGGCTCACAAAAATGAAGATAGTTTGATGTCCAGTCATAAGTCATTGCATTATCACAACTGTTATGTCACAGGCCTTTATAGTCTTGTTATTGTAATTGATGATTATTCTGTTAACTTCACTTATCAGCTTTGTGTATTGTTGGTTGTAATGCAGCAAATATTAAATTATTTGTAAAGTTTCTTGATCAATGTACATAAGAAAACCACATCATTTTTTGAAACGATGACATGAACAGGGGTGAGTTTATATAACTTTTTTTCTTCTTCCCACTCCTTTTCGATAAATGTGCTTTTCTGTTGTTGTTGTTGTTGTTGTTGTTTGTAATGTAATGTAGTATGTGTATGATTATTGTTTCTCTCTTTGCACAAACTCAAAATAAAAAATGAACCAATATACAAAAGAAGAACCACTCAAAATCAATTGTAGATTAAAAATCCCATACACACACATACTGTACAGACATAGTAAACTTATATATTGTTATTACTAGGGGCGTAATGATATCCAAGTCTCACGATACGATATTGTCACGGTATGAACCTCACTGTACGATATTTATTGTGATATTGAGAGAAAGCTCATGATATGGTGGCGAGGTTCATGAATAGGGATGTAACAATATCCAAATCTCTCTATATGATATTTTCACAACATACATCTTATGGTACGATATTTATTGCGATACGTTATATGTTACTTTTTCCTCTTAACAAGACTTGACAAGACTTAATCCAAAGAACTAAGACTTAAAAGTGCTTAGAACTGTTATTTCTTCTTGTAGTCTGCACTAAAATGGAGCAAAGGATCATGGTCTATGTAGTTCACTCTTCTTTTTTTTAAGCTATTGCTGCACCATAACTCTTCATTTAAGCAAAGAAACTTGCAATTCGATATATTGTGATGGTCCACGATATTATTGTGAGAACTTTGACGATACGATATCATGATATTTTGGTTATTGTTACATCCCTAGTTGCTACTATTATAAACTTAAATATCGTCAATAAGGACATATTATTTCTCTAACTCTGTATTCCAAATGCTAATGAAATATAGGCAAAATTACTGTAATCAATAAATACAATGACTATTAACATTCACTTGGATGTAAACCAATAAGAATACATTGGAAACCTTCAAAAAAACATTACTTATTAGCTGGAATATTCCACAGTAAGGCAGAAATGAGCAGTGACCTCCACCTAGAAACAGGTCTGATCTGTGGGGAGGCGATCCCGTTCACCGTAAGAGGATTTTGGAGCAATAAAAGCATCTGCAATAAAATAAATTATACGAGATAAACAAGCGTCATTGCGGAATATTGTACGAACAGCAATAACATCACCGTGGAGACGAGCAGGAAGTGAACTCTCCATCACCACAGTGCACATTTAATTCACATTTAGATAAAAGGCACTTCTTCCACCATTGATTTATAATTGAACAACTCCCTTTAAACTACTGATTTCTGCCTTTTCTGTGGTCGCTTCAGTAAACCAATAGGATTTACATTCTGATTTTATTGCTCTGGACGCTTTTTCTGTCACTAATCAATAACCCACACCCACCCCCATGTGGTTATCTTCTGACCAGGGCACTATAAGAAAACCAGGAAATAGCCCAGGGTTAAACAACTTAAGGTCAGATTAGATATGCATTGCCTTTCTGCACTGATCTACCTGCTGCTGACATCGTAAAGAGTCATTGTCGTCTCTATGTGTGTCTTTGTTGGCCTAACGTTAGAATAAATTGTATTGTAAATCATAAAAGCCTGCTCATTTTTATTTATTTGGTCAATGTGCTGCCAAATGCTTCATAGATTCCTCTCATTGTGTCCTCTCGGGTTGGCCTTTAAAACAAATCTATAAGTCATTCATACTACAAGATATCTATTTCCATTTTGTTCCGCTGCTATAGTGACTGGGTTTACCAATCGATGTATTATAATGACACCCAAACCCGTCAGGAACTGTTCTGGTGTTTTAGTTTATTTTAGATTTACCCTGCAAAAAATGTGAGTGTTTATTGTTTTGATCTGATGGCAAGATATCGCAATATTGATCTAATACAGATACCACTGTGTTCTGAATTAAAATGCATTAAAATTCATCTGCTAGAAAGAATTTTACCTCACCAGTTTTGCATGAGAATTACAAAATAATACAAAATAATTCAAGTAATTCTAACAGATTTTGCATTGTAACCACCATGCCTATTTTAAAATAAGATACAGCATTCTTAATAATTTTGTTAACCCTAAACACTAAATTAACCTTATAAAAGTATAAATGTGTATACACCGACCGTTTGTTGTGTTTTGCACCTTCTATCGCTTGGTTTTGACATGTAAAATTGTTGTATTGCTTATGTTTTGTACTAGCTTGATTCATCAGCCGGTTTTACTTCGTGGAAACTGTCTGACCTCG